ATCTTATCTTCATCTTCCCAATTAATTCGATTAACGGTATCACGTGCGGTAACAGGTAATGTCGATAATCGTCGATTATTTCTAAAAACCAGACAAATAGGTTCCAAAGAAAAGAAAAAACACTCCCAACCAATACGTCGTATCCTACACTGCAAATTTTCACAAAGAAAACTTCACCGTGGACTTGGCACTGCGGATACACCTGCATTGAATGCAAAAAAAAAACATTTACACGCGTGACATCTGCCACATTGTTATGCGCCTTTGGATAACAAACAGCGCGCCGATTTTCACATGTACTGCACGCAAACAGACTCCAGCTATAGTAGACACGCGCACAACGCACGTGTTTCCCTGTGTAATCGCATGCTTCTTCTTTTTGTTTTCCCTGATAACGATGACGATCATCGCGACGTTTATTTTAGATCGGTCGCATTTGCGATGATGCCGCTGGTATACATGCCAAAGATCGAGCTGACGGCGATTGTAATCTCGTCGGGTGGCTTGATTTGCATTACCGACACTTGAAACTATGGAAGCTTGTAGGTGCCACCACTGGCGCACAGTGAGAGCGCGCTAATATTATAGGCAGAAATCCGCTACTGTCCATGCGATCAAAAAAAGTTCTAGCTCAAAAAAAGTTGAAAAAACCTTGACACATGTCCTTATCCATGATAAAAAGAAAAAAATATTTGTTAAGGTCATAAACAGATGTGTTAGCCTTAAGGAAGTTAATAGATACTTTGCATCTGCTACGGGCTTAACTTACAATGTCCAGGAGGGCATCGTAGCTGTTAACTTTATTGACAATGATTTAATGGAAATCGATTCTAATGTAATTGATTACAACGTTCACCTTAAATTGGAAGGTATATACTGCATAATAAAAGTAATAAGATAATTATTTAATGGGGAATTTTTCGCAAAATTCTAAAACACATTCATTGCAGCCTTGAAAACTAAAAAAATGAAGTTCCTTTAGTCTCAACATTATACATAGTATAATATGAATATGTTGTAATGTAACTGAACTAGTGGGTATTACTGTCATAAACTATTTACACTTTAGTATGAAAGTCATTATCTACAACATACACAATTTAGAAGGAAGATGCATCGATGATATCAATAATTTACATGAACAAGTAATAAGCTTCTTCCGCATTTTTAGGTGATGCTAAAAATTTTTGTTTGACTACATCTGCAAAGTTTGTGTTGATTAGATAAGGTTTTTTTGTATAATTACATTTTTTCTTCTCAATTTCATAGTTTTAAGTATTCTTTTTAAGGTTCTGATGGAAATGTTGATGTTATGTTTTACTTTTAACATGTGGCATATATCTGTGTACTGATAGTTGCTCATGAAATAATTATAAATAATTTTTCTGCATTTATCTTGAGAAATCCTATCCGTAAAAATCAATGATTCATTACAAATAGTAAATACTTTACAGGAGTAGTGTTTTATAAATACCTAATGTCTGTGATGATACTTGTAAAATATACAATAAATTTGTAAAATATACCCGTTGCTTCTTTGAAATATACTTTCAGTGTAGCTAGACTAAAAAGCTAATTCTATACTTTGAAAAACAAAAGTTTTTCACTGTTAAAAACTGTTATGTAAGAAATGTTATCCATCTGTCAAACTTATAAACACGAAAGTCCAGAGTTTTGTTGGTGAAACAAATTTTTCCTGGAGTCCTAATCTACAAAACAAATTAAGTTAGATTGCACAGAAGGGAGGTTACGAGATACTTTTTCAGTTGATTGCAACTTTTTTTTACAACGCAGTAGGTGTAAGCACTGTGGGCTTTTTTTATGTACCTATATTGCAGATGAGGATTTCTTTCACATGATCGCAGTTCTCGCACGCTCGCACGATCGCATATGGACAGTAGCGGATTTCTGCCTATAATATTAGCGCGCTCTCACTGTGCGCCGGTGGTGGCACCTACAAACTTCCGTATGAAACGCCTCGCTGGGTTTTCGTCTTCGGGACACGTGCGTGATCGTTATGCCGATTTCGTTGCCTCACTTCTTGTTTTCTCATCCCGGCTTGTTAAATATTACATCGTTAGATAATATACATACTTATTCTCATGGGTACGTTTTTTACCTTTATTTTTTTCCTTTTTTTATTTACGCGTTTTATTCATGGCGTTTTACGTATTCCGGTATGTGCATGGGTGTACACCGAAAACACGTATCTCTACGAATTCGTGGAAAACCAATAAAATAACTATCATAATCACAATTAACATATTCAACGCGTATTTAACGAGAAGGAAAAGAGCAATTGAACCGTAATTTGAAACCTATCGAAAAAGTATAAAATGATAATGAGAAAACTGTGGGGAAAGAATGCGCGATACCAAAATCGGTTTTATGTAATGCCTTGTGCGCGCCGACTTTCCAATAGACTATTAATTCTGCGATACATTTTTTTTTTTTTTTTTTTTACAGAACCAACAAAAATAAGTAACACCTTACATCTTATACCTGTTTGGCATAGTCACGCGCGTTTATGCAAACGCAGTGATCAACGCCGTACATAATAATTAAAGCAACGAATGAGACATGGAAAAAATAAAAATCAAGTTGCAAATAAAAGTGGAAGTTGAGTGGAAGCACATTACAATCTGCATACAATCAGAGCGAGTTTCCATACAGTGTATACGCAACGCGACTAAAGTCACTATGAGAGTAGCGATCGAGTGCAAAAAAAAGTTGTATTGACACGTGTAAAAATTCCAGACACGTTGTTTTTTCCTATATCCAGTACTACGCATTGTTTATCAAATTGAGCTAAAAACAAATGCAACAACAACGACGACGTTTAGCATCAAGTCATAATTCAGCTGGTGTTACGAGATGGCTTTAACAGCGACACGATTACACGAGACTTACAAGCGGCAAAACTTGTTAAATTAGCTCGCCTCGGCGACAACAACCGGTCACATTACCTCTTGTGTACACATACATACGAGCCCTGTCCTCTGATTAAATCGTCAAAGTTGTCCTCTTTTTTTTTTTTCTCCACTTGCGTCTTACACATTACGAGAACGACGCGCGTGTTGCTCGCTCGTAAGGGAAAGGTGGTATGTACATGTGAGCATCCACTTACGTTGTACATACATACTCCAGATTTTGGTCGTTACATGCATCGAGCACCAACGAGGAAGCAAAATCGGCGATAAGAAATCGTGTATCGATAAATTATCGGGCCAGCCGATGCTTCCGCGAAACATTAATTTTTTCGAATCCACGTGCACGTACAGGTGCCACTCTGTCTGAAACCTAATCTAGAGCGTACGCGTCGGATTATATAGATACGCGTGCTTTCATTGAACCGTATATTCATCGCATGCGTCATTAGGACAATTAAAAAATAATAACTATCAAAGAAAAAACTTTCTAGTTGATTAGGACTCGTATACGATATTGTTTCGAACGGCGCTGCGTCGATAAACATTTATTATTCAGCATCGATTGCACGTGTGTTGGTGCCGCAGTAATAGGAGCCCGTTGACTACTATCATTATTATTTTTAACGTTACAAACATACGATGCATCCGATTACTTCCGGCGTGCCGACGAGGCTTTTTTGCTAATGTGATACATAAATGTGCAAGTATGTATATATATATATATATATATATATATATATATATATATATTCTTAACAATCAACGTCTAATTCTTAGTCTCCATTTCTATCCGTTGCCTGCGTTCGCGTATACGCGTATTGTTAATTTTTTTCAAAATCTCTTTTTCCATAGCATGAAGGGAGTCGCGTTTCGTCGCTTGTTGTTGAATAGCACAATAAACATCGATAACTGCGCGTGCGGTGATTATGTACGCTTCTGTGCCCACACTCTCATTCATAGGCGAGCGCAGGCTAAAACAATGCGGCTGCATACATGTACCTATATGCGGTATAAAACCTATACGTGTATCCAAAAAGTGGCGTGAATGGCAAAAAAAAAAAAGGTGTATCCGTCCGAATGGAAGAAAATAAAAAAATAGCGGGGAAAGATGCATCGCGGCAGCAAACAAAGAGGAGGGCTCCGAAAGAACGCCAACTATGTGTGTATTAATACGTGCGATTGTATATATATGTGAAATAAAATGAAAAAAAAAGGAGAAATAAAAAACGAGAACCGAAGCGTTTGGTCTTGCGCTGAAGAAGGAGACGGAGCGTGCGTATACTTAAGAGAGACGGAACTAAAAAGTGCCGGCACGTGTGTGCTGTATACGTGTTAGCTTTAAGCTACAACGACACCCGTACCTATATGCACATGAGGAATTCCGCAAAAGCATCGAGTGTTTTTCTATTTTCTTTCTTTATTTCTTTTTTTTTTTCGCGAGACACCTTCTAAAAGTTATTCCTTTCCTCAACGAGATTCAAGTGTAATTGTTACACTTTTTGTTTCCCTTTACATTTTCCATTGTACTTTTTGCTTCCAATTTTAACGCGTCCACACGTTTTTCAGATTCCTTCGAGTAATTTTTCGAAAAGGAACCGCATGGGGCTCCGAGATAAATTGCTCAAATCCTCGAAGAAATAAAAATTTCGTCTCAACATTGAAAGTCTTGTTTTTTGTCGTTTCCAGTATCGAGAAATGAAGAACCCGGAGGGTTGTGTCTCGGCAAAAAAGCTCGATCCACCTGGACCCCGAAAACAATCCTTTTTCACGTAATTCCTCATATCCACGTATAGGTACACACACGCTAACGGGCAAAGAAGAAAGAGTCGGCTGACGTATACACACGGGCTGGGGGGAGGAGGGGGGAGCGCGGTACGTGGCGCGAGTCGCGCGTAGGAGGGATCGGCGGGGGAGGGAGAGCAGATGGGCAAGGGGCGAAAAGACGGACGCGGGTGAAACGCGTAAACAGAGTCAACATGTAAACAGGCCACTCGCGAGACAAACAACGTGGGGGCCGCCGCCGCCGCGCTCTGCTGCTGCCGTTTTATTGTACTTGTGTGTGCGCGTGTGTGCGCGCAAAGCAAGGTATAGTTTAGTGTGCGCGTTTTGGTATATTGCTTTTGCCGCGATAGAGCCGCGGGACGCTTCACTCTCGATGCAAAGTCCAGCCGGCGTGCTGCTTTGCTTCCTTCTATACTTTGCGCCCGACACGCGGTCGCGCTTCTCGTTTTTCGGGGGTGTGCTTTTTTTTACATTTTGTTTATCGTTGTTTCCATCCAGTTTGTAATAAACGTGTACAGTTGGATAAACTTTCGGGGTGACGTGCAGTGCTCGTAGGTGAGAGATTGGTTCTGCGGGGATTTAAAATTTCCCGCCCTTTATTCGGTGTATCGGGGTGTAACAACCCCCTCCCCTAGCGGAAGGGTTGTTTTTTTTTCTATCGAAAAAAATTTTTTTGAGCTTTTGCTTTTCCAATAGCCAGTGCAGTCAAAGTGGTGAACAAAAGGTGGTGTTTTTAGTGTAAAGTGACAACTCGATGGGATAACTAAAGTGGAAAAAGTGCGAAGATCCAAAAAAAAAAGTCTCATCCGAAAAACTTTGTTGGAAGAAGGGATGACAAAGGAGGCATAAGTCAACGCAATTTCGTTCCTGCGGTTGGAGCGAAATATTCATCAAACAAAACAGATTCCCCGAATAAAAAGAAAGAAGCATTTGGAGCAAGAAAAAGACACAGGACCGCCGGCGCTAGTCTCATAGAGAGAGAGGCATATACGCTAGCACAAATACCACGGGCGCGTAGTTTTATTTTTTCGACGCTCCCTTCAAACTCGTCTCTGAATCAGCACGCCGGCTGCGTCGAATAATCATTGTCGTCGTGAAATTAGTCAGCCGGCAGCAGCCGTGGCGAGAAGAAGTATACACGTACAAGCAAAAAAAAAAATGAAATAAAAAAAACGAGTAGCGTAAGACAACGGAGGGGCAGGAGGAGTGGAAGGAAAACAATGAGATTACGAGTCTAGAGAGACGCGAAGTTTGTGTTTGTTTTACTCGGTATACACGTGAGAGATCGTCGTGAAAAAAAAAAAAAAAAAAAACAGAGAGAAACTGTGTACATAACACAAAAGTTTTCCTCGTTCGGAAAAATCATAAATAACCGATGGTGTATGTAGTTGCCGGCAATCACGTGTGCCAAATCGGCAATCGACCGGGCCTTGCCGTTTCGTGAGAATGTAATTTTTATCGAGCGACATTGAACTGAATTGGAGAAGCCAGAAACACGAAAAAAAAAAAAAAAAAAAAATGAGACGCAAGGCAAGGTCCCGGCGTGCGGGATCAGTTGCTGCTTCGATGAAACAATCGGCTGACGGATCTTCAGCGAAATTTCACGGGACGCTCTGACGACCAACTATACCCGGGATATACAATAGAAAAAGTCAATCGTGCGAGAGATAATCAGCTGTTTTCGTGTGTGTTTTGTCGTGGATGTATCACATATTTATCGAGTGCGCGCATCGCGAGATAGACCGCGATGAGAGCTCCAGTGAAACACGACGTGACCCACCAAACCTCGAATCGGCAAGTAAAACCTATTACGGACGAATGCGTCACGTTGTTTTTTCTCGGCAAAAAGTGACAGAAAAAAAAAAACTCACCCAAGTTCAAAGTCCTCGGTTGATGGGTGGTCAAACTTTTCTAACACGGAAATCGTAAAAAAAAAGGAGCAGATCGGCGAAGCGCTGTACCTCCAGCGTCAATGTCAACAGGTGCGTACACAGTGTTTATCCGTATAGTATTGGTTGCCCATCGAAACAACTTAATCTCGTTCAAATAGATTTTTTTTTTTTTTCCCAAGCACTCGTAAATGAGGATCGGTACAGTGTTGGTACATGAGAACTTGGGCGAGCGAAGCGAGGCTGGGCTCGTTGTTTTTGTTGCCACTTCCTTGTTGGCCGCGTAAATAACGTGCACCGCAGCGACAACTGGCCAGTTGAGCTCTAGAGTCGCGAGATTCATTTTTCATTCGTTGACCCCGCGGATTTGGATTTGCTACCGAGTTGCGGATTGAGTTTTTTTCCCCCATGTCAAAACAACTCGCGCAACAAATGATAATCATAGGGCTTGGATTGTTGTTACGAAAGTTAGATTTCGCAATCGACCTTTTCTGTTTCATGAAAGCTACACCCTATCGCTTTATCGATCGATTGATAAAAAACGAATAAAAATAGTGTGTGTCACGTAAGCTCAATTCGTACATGATGTGCGATCCAGAGAGATAAATAGATATTTATGCAACGTAATAAATGTGTGTGCCTGTCTAATTTAAATTCATGCAAATGATCTCAGCGCTTAATCGGAGTGGAGCGAGTAATATTACAAACACATACCCTATGTGTATAGTGTTGAAAAAACACAATTTCCGTATGGATCGAAAATTTTGAAAGTGACTTGATCGGAGCAGAACAAAAAAAAGAAAGAAAGAAAGAAAGATCCTATGTTTAGTTTTCGTCGAACAATGTGCTTTCATCGGCACACCGTGTGTTTTCGTAGCAAAGATAAACAAAGCTCTTCCTCTCTTTCGCTCTCGCTCGCTTTTAAATATTTAATGTACTCCCATTGTTAATTTAATTGAGCCGCTTGCGCAAGAGATTGCAAGAGTCTTTCGAGCTTTTTTTTTTTCCAAGCGCCTACAACGGAAGCGAATGAATTATCTGTTTGTTCGAAATACACTTGATTTCTGAACTCTTCCGTTTGCCCCACATATACCGTTTTGTTGTGCACACGTATACGCTCAGATAGGTATAGGTACACAATAAAAATAACGAATTCACGATTTTGATAAAAAAAAGGGAATAGACGCACACATCCTTTCCACGCACATGTACACATTTAGGAATGGAGTTGTTCGCCGAATTTCTAATTATACTTTGGCTCGTCTTTTGTTGATGAAAAAAGAGCTTATTACTATGCTGGAAAAGATGCGCAAACAAAAAATACCTATATACACTCGCGGCTCCCTCGCGTGTCTCGAAAATTCGCGTCAGTTTTCATTTGCCGTGACCAAGGCCAGGTGTGATCCAAGAAAATTTTTTGCGGCGCTCTGTATACGCTTTTGAGACAAATAGCGCCGCACAACGGCACACCGACGCACGGAAACAACGACAGCCGGCAATTTAGACCGGCGATTCGATATCGCGCGATTAGAATTTCAAATAAAAAGAAACCAACAGGTGCATTGTGAATTTTTTTTCTTTTTTTTTTTCCATCATACTTTGAAAAAATTAGAAAAAGACACAAATGTGATCGCAGGCGCGAATATCGTACACGCCTATATACACCAATAGCTCAGAACTGCGTGTATACACCAAGAATTACAATACTCCCGATATATGTTTACGCATCACGTAACACTCCCACCCACATGTACGGCAACACTTCCGAGTGCCAATATATACATACATGTACTTTTAATTTATCGTTTCGCATGTACGCTCCTCTGAAGAAACATCCATTGTCCAATGTTGCCTTGAGTATTTCCACAGTGGTAAAAGCCGCGGTTGTACAGGCAAATGAAATAGTTCCAAAAATCCACTCGAATCGTTTGAAACGAAAAACCGACCGAATCTATAGGAGCACGTGCCAGAGCACGTGTGGGCACCGGACACGTACACGCATTATACTCGCGCACACTAGTTCAGCATCGCAGGCGCGAAGAGATCGATCGGCCTTGAAGAAGAGAAGAAGGAGTATATAGGTACAGCAGCATTATCATAATAGCCGTTCCGCAGTTGCTCGCACAGCTGGCTGTATTACAACCAGAGCACGAGTATGAGAGAGAGAGAGAGAGTTAGTGGTCGAGAGCAACAGAGTTGCTTATACTCGTAAGAGATATCGTATACAAGTATCAGATGGGGCGAGTCGCAATGTAATGTAATCGTCGTCGCTCATGTGTGCCCTGATGGGACTCGATTAACTTGTTTGCCCCCGCGAGGGAGAAATAGAGAGAGCCGCACTTGTGAAATTTTCTCGCGTGATCTGGCCCGCTCTCTACTCGTGGACCAAACTAAAGAGTACGGTCTTTATGAAAATACAATTAATACGTGTCGGGTAGTGATTCAGCGAGAAAAAAAAAAAAAAAAATTAGCCTACGTAAAAATTGAACAAATTCTGTACTCGCTGCAGTGGTTTATCAAAGCGAGAGAGTATAACGTGCTCTCAGTGGTGCGAACCTATGTATATGCTCGTGAAACTCATAAATTCAATATCGACGAGCGATAAGGAGCTCTCGCTGTATACATGTACGTATAGGCGCGTTACGCACGAGCTGGGTTGAAAATAAACCGAAAGTACCTATTGGTGGTTTCGCAGCAGCATCCGAGATTGTTGACCCTCTTCGGGTGAGATGATATTTAACGTTACAGTATAAAGATTGCGACACACCTGCTTGGTGTACGATTTTTCCGTTACCTTTTTTTTTATCGATCCTGTTGAGAGATAATATTTATCAAAAGCAGTTTTCGAGCGGTCGCTGATTAAACACAAGCGGCAAAGCGCAACGATAAAACAAAGGAAAAATAAAATGAAAAAACGTTTCGAGCGCTTGCGAGGAAGGATGGGGGAGAAAAATTAAAACAACAAATCGGCTGTGCACGCGTATCCATTAACGCGGAAAATCGCTCAGCTCGCTTTTCTCCTACATGTCGTTGTTTACTGTCGCGCAATGCGCGGTCGAAGGTCGCGACATGTCCTCTGCCATTGTGACAAAACGAAACTTATTTCGGCCAAAGTCCCTCGTACTCGCGAACTGCACAAAAAACCTCCAATGGGTGCAGACGTGCGCCAATGCCCATAAACTTTATCGAAAAGAAGCAAAAAATAAAAGCAAAGTCCAATTCGAAAACGATAAGACACGCGTGTTTAATGACATCGGATAGCATTAATTGAAACATCGATTGCGGAATAAGAAATTAAGTGACGCGGGTGGCGTATCCCCCATTATCTGCACTTGGCATAATCTCCCTCTCTCTTGCGAGCTAAATACACACACGCACCGTCAGCTTTTTTTTGTCTTATCGCTTCGGCAAAAGCGACGATATCTCGAAACCTGTCGGCAGCGCACTCCAATCAACAACACATTACTCGTACTCACGTGACTTTTCACCTAATGTGCGGATTAACAAATTGAAAAAAAAAAAAAAAAAAAAAAGCATAAGTTATCGCTACCCGATTGTATATAATACGTATCGTTCTGGAATCCGCCGGGTAATTTATTTTCTCACCCATAAATCGCGAAATTTGCCTTCCGAGAGCTCGCGATTCCGGGAGAAAAGATGTTTAGAAGGGCCGGAGTAAACAGCAGCGCAAAGCCGAGATTCGCCGGTTGTAAATTTAGACGCGTGACTGAAAGGTGAAGCCAAAGGGGGTACGGAGTCTGGCCGTCCTGGAGACGATCTGGTTCTTCTTTTAGCCCGAAAGGGAGGAGGGGAAAAAAAAAACGCGGCGAGCTCGAAAAAATATAGCCACACGCTCGCAAGGACAAACACGTGAAATGAGAACATAAGTTGTTTGTGAGTTTATTCATCATGGGTGCGTATAACGAGCATTTCCGCGACTTCCCGTTGTAGATTTCTCCTCAATCGTCGCCGATTAAAGTGGCACCACGTCGATTTGCTCCTCGAAGTAATCGTCGCCATTAATCAAAAGCAAAATACATATACATAGGCTCTGAGTCACGCGGTGTAGCGGCCGCTATCACCGAAGCGATTATGCTAAAACGCGGCGTGCGACCCCTCCTCGGTGCCGATAAGGAGTCAATCTCTGCTGAATCTCGGATGTAAAGAGGCGCGTTGCGTTGATCGTGGCGAGCTCCCGTGGAAATCTGCATTTTCGCTCCCCCTTTTTTTTTTCTCCAATTCTAATTGGAGAAAATGCCCGCGTCCGGTTTGACGCTATTATCTCGACGTACAATTTCTCGGACGCTCTTTTTATTGCCCGCGCTCGGGAGAGGAGGGTACACATCATATGCTCGATCGCGAAAAAATTGTTGCAGCTGCTTCCGTTGCTGCTGGTGATAAACACCAAGTTTCACTTCGATAAGGTCCGACGCCTTATTTTTGTCTTTGCGTACACGATGAAAAATTATAGTATCGTAAAGTCGATCGCTCCTACACGAGCTGAAAAGTGCAGTGAGTAAGCAAAAGCCGCGCTTACAAAGTATATTATCAGCTGTACACTCGTTTAAAACAACAACTAATCGTATCGCGGGTACGTGCGTGCGAGCGAATACTTGAATCATGAGAGAAGTGAAATTACAAAATCAGCATAGTTTGCAATTGATAGTGGTATACGAAGCGTATAACATTGAGGAAGCATCGTCGGCGCGCGAGAAAAGAAAAAGGGGAGAGCCTCTGGCAAACAGAATTAAGCAAAGCAGCTGATACGCCATGAATGTGTGTGTGTGTGTACACATATACGCCCATATAAATAGCACAAATGTATACGTATGTGACGTGCGCGAGTAAGAGGACGCTGATCGCTTTAAACGTGCTATTCGACACCCTGGCTTTTTATGTGTACCACACAACATGATACTTGTACATTTTTTTTTTTTTTTTTTTTTTTTTCATGATGTGCACAGTATGTTATCAGAGGGGGGACGGCTATCGTTGACCTTATACATCGATGTATTGTATGGGTGTTGTTATTTACAACGCATGGAACAGCTCGCGATGCGTGACGCGCTCCCTGCGTTTTTTTATTCTATTTT